ATAGGGTAAAAATAATATTACGAACTACGTAGGTACATCAATGCCCGAATACTAGTATGTAGTTTTAAAGTTTTTCGGAAAGAAAGTTTTTTTATACCTACGTACAATGGATTAAAATTCATAACAAACGGTATGTTTATGTTATTATAAAACAATATAAGTTTAATATATTTAATACCTAATTTTTGCGGATTAAAGTTTAAACGAGTCCGTCTTTTATCCGATTACGAGAAAAATATAATTTAATATGAATAATACTTAAACTATCATAATATAGTATAATATAGTAACTATACCATAACAACACAGAAGCTACATGGCAGTTAAATGCATTCAAAATATATCTATAGGTTAAATAAAAAACTGAAATGACATGAAATAATATGCGCTAATAACACCAAAATATTAACTATAGGCCAAATATGCCAATACATCCAAAACATACAAAAACATGCACTATTAAACTTTTAATTTGTACTACCTTTGTAATGAAATGGATTTGTATCTCACTTAACATGTTCTCCTATGTAGCAAAAAATACATGCAAATGGTGACGGTGCTAGAGTTTGCGAGGCCCTGGGCAAAATAAATCTTATAATTTATATTAATAAAATATTTGAAATTCAGTTATATCAGAATCACGGGGCCTTAATTATAATTTAAGACGCGAGGCCCTGGGTAACTGCCCCTATTGCCCACCCCCTCGCGCCTTCTCTGCATGCAAATGCATGAACTTACAAGCCCTGTTTATAACTATACGATTACACGTGTACGGACCACAGTAATTACGCTCGATTAGCACTCGTTTGACGATACGACTGTTACAGATAGAACATTGTTATAATTAAAAACCGGATATAATTGCATTAAAAATATCTTAATATTGCTCTAAAAAGATACCAAAATTGCAATGAAGATGTATCAAAATTGCAGTATAAATATGTTATAGTTGCAATGAAATACATTAAAATTACATAGTAAAATCATATCAAATATATAATCATTAATTACTTACTTTAAATAATATTTATATAATATTTACAAAATATATAATTTTTCTGAATAAAAATTTATAATTATATACATCTCTAAATTGTGTTCTTGAAAATTGTATTCTCTGTTACTTAAAATATGTTTATATAATGAAAAAGTACGTTCAACGTCGACACTTGCTATCGATGCATACTTAAAATAGTTTAAGAATTGGATGCTATATCTAAATAAACATTTTGATTTCCTGTTATAATCTCAGGGTAACTTTTAATAGTTTAATATCCTTCATTTTTTTCTAAGACATATTTTAATTTATCTTTAACTGTTTTTCCATTAGGACCGGGAATATTTATGGAAATATTTATAATAAATATTTTTATTTAGTTAGTATTTGTTTAGTATTTACTTATTTATTTATTTAGTATTTATACTAAGTATGTTTAAACTATTAAGTAATTGACTAATTGATTCTTCTAAGCTAGTGAATTTCGTGGATAACCCAGATAAATATAATTTTAAAAATCCTAAACTACATTTAACTACATGTAAAAATTTACGTCGTAGTTATATTTTTTTTGTAAAATCACTTAGGAAATAATAATTTGTATATTTTATCACATGAAGTATACAAAAATTACAATGATTGCAAAAAATTTAAAAATCGTTAAAAATTGCAAAAAATTGCATTATTAAATTAAATAGGAAGACTGTAATTAATCTGATCCGTATACATACATATTTTAATCAGATTTTATTTACTGGGTATCAATAAAAAGTTGCAATATCAATTAAATCTGGTCTCTAGTTATAATACATTGTGCGTTATAATCGTTTGTTTTGTCGCCTTTCAATTGTTTCATACCCGGGTTGGATATAGGTATCTAGTGGTCCCTTGGCGGAAAGTATTGTGGACGGTAATATACGATTGCGTACGATTGTCCCTTTTAGTAAAACGATTGCGTACGATTTCTCTACCTAGGCCTTAAAAACATTACGATTGTGTACGAAAATGAGTGCAACGTTGCCAACATGTACTATTAAATTAAATTAAATTAAAAATAATAATAATATAATTTAAAAAAATCATTATTATACTATTATAATCGATTAAAAACAATATAAGATATTTAAGTATAAAAAGTACAATAAAAATTAGATGGAATAGCTTTGGATATATTTTTTTGTATAGTGGATATTTTTATATTGATTTCAGCATGCATTTATTTCAATGCCTGAAGCACAAAGTATATTGGTGGATGTGCGTTATAGAATTGAACGTTAAAAGTTCTGTAGAAACTTTCTGGACCATTTGTTGTTCTAACATTAAAATACGTAAAAATTACAGAATTAATAATGATCTAAATATTTTATGTCACTTTATTTTTATGTATCAGAACATAATAAACTTTAAAGTTATATTGTACAAGAATACTTCCAAATTTTTCTTATAATTTATAAAACTATGGTACCTTTTATTTATTGATGATTCTTCAACCCATATATTAGTTGGAAATGTACAATTTGGTTGTATATAATTGTTATATAAAATATATAAATTATATTGTTTATATTGTATATATTGTTTATAAAAATTGTATAAAATATAAGCAATCGTTTCCTAAAATAAGTTATATTACAAATTTTTACGATTTTGAACAACGGCAACATTGCACTATGTATTGGTAGGTAGAATGTACGCAATCGTAATATTGAAAAAGGTCCATACAGAATCGTATCATACGCAATTGTAACGCACCCATTGTGGAGGTCCCTTATACATAAACAAAAAAATATATTTTTTACTCATTAAATAACATTTACTATCTATCATATTTAGTAGTAAATAAATACTTAATTAATAATAATAAATAATCATAAAAACCATCAAATCGGAATATAAGTCACGTCATCAAACGAAAAAGTGTTCACCGAAAAATAAAAAAATAACAGCAAATGTGTGTAAATGTATCTGAGTTGATAATAAATATTTCACGTCAAAACAATTCACCATTTGAGTACATACACATATTATAAATATGTATATTATTATATTATACATATTATAAAAATTATTACCAAATTTCTATCTTAAAATAAGGGTTCTCATAAAATGGATTAACCATACAACGTACTCTTATCTCTCGATAATCATTTTTTAACGATATCCATTGCAATGTTCGAATCTGTTTATATTATTACCACAGATTTGTCAATATACTATTAGAACGCAAATATTAAATATATTATCCATCCCAAAACTGATACAATTGCATTCATATAACAGCTCATTTTCAAGTATTAATTCGATGATGGTAAACTAGGGCTCTGCGGTTATTTTATATAATCGATAATTTTAATAGATTATTTTCCATATATTACAAATAATCGATATAACTGCAATTCGATTGTTTTCGATTATTCGATTAATCGATTATATAATCGAATAATCGAGATGGTACGATTATTTTCGATTAATGAAAAAAAATTATTAATTGACTTAAATAATAATTGAAAAACATAATAATCGAAAATTAATTATAATTAAGATTATACTTTATATATTATGTCATTAAAAATATTTTATGAATATAACATAAATATAAAATGTTTTCATTGTAGTTGTAGTCATGGTATTGTTATTGAAGTATTTATATTCATAACTTAAAATCCCTTTTACCATTACTAAAATAATATAAATATAAACGAGTTTAGTGTTTATTTTTAAAATTTGATAGAACTGTTATTGATACAAAATTATATTTATGAATAAGTTATTCAAGTTAAATAAGTTATTCCTTTCACAAGTGTTGAATTTGAATTTGTTACAAAAAGCATTATCAATTAATATAATTTTCATTCAATTATACCAATCACTATTATCTCAAATTTTAAATCTTGGTATTCACAAGTGAAAACTGTAATAGTTTTAATAACTTGTAAAACAAGTATTCGAAGATGTACATATTTAATATTCAGTAGTCACCCCTGAAAATCGTTGTTAGAAAAAAAATAGTTTTTATATGCTTCGTAAAAAACGTGCATAGCATACAAGTGTACTTAACTGTTATAATAAGTAGTAACTGTAAAATAGGCCTGAGCCTAATGCATTTGATTATAGTTCGTTTCCGTACGATATAAATATAACGAATAACCCAATAACCCATATAAATTTGACGTGTTAAAAATAAGAAACCCTACATACCTTCATTATTTTAATTTAAGAATACTCTGTTGAACAATTCAAAACCACAGTTAACTAAAAATCACCACATTTAACAAAATTTCTTGGATGAAAAACCAATAAACATAAATTAAAATATAAGACAATAATTTTCATTATACGAATAAACTAAATTAACTGTATAAATATTTTTTATCAACACTATCATGCTCTACAATTACATTATTATTAGATACATACATACTCGTATTGCGATGAACATTAATACCATTATACGTTACATAATATTATAAAAAGTAATAACTAATAACAAATAAAAATTAAAATAGTAATTTGCGAATTAATCGACGTAATGATACATAATTAATAAATATAATCGATTAAAAAATGTATTCCCAACGTATTATTAGAATATACTACTTCGAAAGTTTAAAATATACCAAGGTTATCCACTATGAAAAATGATTATAATATTTATAAATCGTGATTACGTATATATTTCGTACTTTTAGTTACAAAATATCTATTTATTTGAATACACAAATCTCATAATCCAATCCATAAGAAAACGATATCAACAATGATTTTTATGTTGTATAATAATTGCACATACATGAAAAAATGTATAGGGATCTATAAATGTGTATTGGTAAAATCTGTTAATCTATGAAATTGCTTATTGTATCTTATGCCATTTATCGGTGTTACAAACAAATTCACTCATTATACATACTTAATCATATGTTGTATAATAATCAAATCATGGCTAAAAGTCAAAAAATACTAACGTTTGTTTCAGATTTCAACGTGACATTATCACAATAGAATGTTTCCAGCAGTTGTAATAATCGTCACGTGCTGCACGGCAATTGTGTTGTTCCTTTATAAGTATACGACTTACTCGTACAAGTACTGGAAGAAAAAATCAGTGATATCCGCCACGCCCGTCCCGTTCTTCGGTAACATCAAAGATCATGTGATGTTAAAAATGACCCAGGGCGAGTGCTTGAAAAACATTTACAAGTAAATATCATATAATATTATTTATTGTTATATATATTCTTGTACAAAAAATCGCGTGGTAATTATGAGCATGCTCCTATACTCTCTAGGATAAATGGACATATAGGTGCTCAAACTGGGGTAGCCATTTCTGGATTTTCTTGGAAAAAATATATATTTAACCTAACATATAACCAGATTTGTGCCAAATTTATTCAAATTAAATATGTATTAAAATTAAAAATTATTTCTGAAAATGTTATTTTTCGATCAATCGCCGCGCGGTAAATAATTTACAATTATTGTAATTGCGATCAATAATTTGCGATAAATTGTTAATGACCAATTGTCATGTATCCATTTCAAGCGTATACATTTATAATTAAAATGCAAAATGTATGTATTATTCTAATACTACAACTAAAATAATATTCTTCAATACAGGCTATGCTAATAGAATGATTGCAAATCATTCCATTATTACATTTATATAACTATATTCTATTTGTATCATGTTTTTTAATTTTTTAAGTAAATACCTATTATTTTATTATTATTAATAATTATTATATAAATCTTCGAGCTATAATAGTTACCATGAATTAACTATGTATATATAGATCTTGCTAGTCCTTATTATAATTATAATTTTTTACTTCATTTTTATGATATTAATTTTATTTTATACTGTTTATCTACTTATAAATATTTATGTTTTGTTGACCTAACTTGTTACACGAAATATATATATATATATATTTACATGATTACCAAATATTTTCCAGTGACTTTCCTAATGAAAAATTCGTGGGCATATACCAACTGCAGAAGCCAACCTTGTTGCTTCGAGATCCAGAAATCATTCGACAGTTTCTAGTGAAAAGCTTTACACACTTTACCGACAGAGGTTTCTTGTATGACGGACATAGGGAACCATTAACCAAGCACCTAGTCAATTTAGAAGGTGACACGTGGAAGATGCTCCGACAGAAGCTTACGCCCACGTTTAGCTCCGGTAAAATCAAAAATATGCTGGGACTACTGCAAGGCTGTGGGGTACAACTTATTAATTACATGGAGGTAAATAAAATTATTTCATTCAAATAATATCAGAAGTTTTTGATTATTTTTTTTTTTTTTTTTGAAATCGAAAATAGTGAACAAATTAACCCAAAGAAATATATGAGTGATAAACTCCATGTAAATAAAAACACCTAAAACACCTTCAAATTTGTTATTTTACATTCAAATGCATATAAAATTTCAGTATTTCAATATTTATATTAGTACTTTTTATAGTAGTTTTTCTTAAAAAAAAAAATTTAATACGTAAATTACATTTTCTAAATATCCCTTTAATTAATGGTTCCGAAAACCCGAAAATTCCAAAATAATTTTACCAGTTTAACTCTTTGGTTTCTTTAAAAGTTACTCTTATGATTATTAGGTATCTCATTATTGACATAAATATATCAATATTTTTATAATAAACCGTGGTTGCCAATATTATTTTGCTTTATGAATTTTCGTTTATAAGGGGCAAAATAGGCAATTTAAGAGCAACCTTGAAAGCAAATAATATTAACTCTACACTTCCGCCGTACGCAAAGGTATAATAGGAAAAATAGTCACCCTGGAAGTCATTTTTAATATGCTGACTTTAAGTTTATCAATTGCCCTCTTTTTACTTCGTAAATACGAAACTGATCAGTGATTACAATATTATTTACTTGAACTAAACAAAAGGATGTTCATACCTTGACATTTGAGTTGTTGATATATCTACAGATTTATATTGTACATGTTTCTAATAATCTGATAATATAACGATAAATATATCCGTTGATTTTGTGCACGTTTATTTTCGGTTAAAGGTTCCATTGGTTTTCATTTCTTCATCTCTGAATTATAGAATTATGATGACACTTAATGTTCAAATAATTAAAAAATAATCAAAAACAACCTCTTACGAAAATAATCATCGGTTAAACTCGATGGAGATTTTATTCACGCGGTGCTTTTGACCGAAATATTAAATACAAAAAAAAACGACTAAGCGACTTATTGAATAACGCACAGAACAACTGTGGGTGTAAATATCTGGATACATTTAGGCAGCCATCGAGTCCGGAAAGTCGGAATTCGAAATGCGTGACTTGACGGCCAAATTCACGACGGATGTGATCGGCACGTGTGCGTTCGGTATCGAGTGCAACTCGTTGAGGGACACGCAGTCCGAGTTCAGACGGATGGGATGCGCGGTACTCAACTCGTCCGCGTCGTCGGCGCTGTCCAAAATCGTCCGGGTGTTCTTCCCGAAATTGTTCAAGGCGTTGAAACTGCGCACGTTCCCGTTTGAAGTGCAACAATTCTTCTTGGGCGTCGTCAAGCAGACCATCGACTTCCGGAAGACCAATCGAGTGCTCCGGAACGACTTCATACAGCTGTTGCTCGAGATCAAGGACCAGAAGCAGCCGAAAAACGCCGACGACACTGCCGTCGAACTGACCGAGGAACTGATCGCCGCTCAGGTAAGTCGTGTACAAAGAGTTTCCGAAATATCAGTATCGAGATGCGTGAATGATCGCCAACAGTATTATCCGTCAGAACTTGTGGGAGCGGAAAGACGACAAACATATTATAGTTCCTCGAGGAAAAATCACCAGATAAAAATATAAACTTTAATCGGTACAATTTGATTTTCAGTTTTGACCATTTGTATGTAGATGAACTTCTCATACTTCATAAAAAAAAGAAATCTCGTATAGTTTTCCATACGATGTACAATATACCGCGGGTTGGTCCCCTTGGTCAGCGCTCGAATCGGATGAAAACGCTGAGTAGCCCAATTATTTACAATTGTCAGCTACCCCTACGTGGTGAAGGGTGTGACTCCCCCCCCCCCTTTGAGAGTAAAACAATGTTACGAACGTTCATCGTTTTGCGTAATAACGTCTCGCTATAATTTTCCAATTCGAGCGCATTATCTCAAAACAACTGGTGTACGTCGTTTGAAACGGTAGACTGTGGCGAAAGTGCATTGGTGCCCATACTATACAGCATTATCTAGGTGTTCGTGTTCTTCTTGGCCGGTTTTGAAACCTCGTCAACGACGCTGAGTTTTTGCCTACACGAGATGGCAGTCAACCAGGAAATCCAGAGCCGGGTGTACAACGAGATCAACGAGACGGCCGACAAGTACGGGCTGCCGCTATCCTACGAAGCCATTTCGTCAATGGACTATTTGGAACAGTGTCTCAAAGGCAAGTATAGTGTTAGCACGTAGCCGCCGCAGTGTCGCGTACTTTCGAATTACGCGTTTTCAACAACTTCGTCTAAAACAGACAACATAATAATATCGATTTGCACAAAACCGTTACAGCATTACGTTCGTCCGATATCGTTTACCGGTAGAGACATTTCTCAACATTTGCAGTTGATGTATACAAGTAGGCAGATTTATTATCATGTATAATTACGCCCCACTTACGTAACCGATGGTGAACACTCGTACTCTATAAGGTTAATCCAAAATTAGGACGACAAATGATCAACACGTGCAACCCGTCATACTGTAGTTTCAGTTACCATACCAACTACACATTATATAGGTTAGATTAGAATGTAGATACGTCGTTTATGTGCGATTTACTTCATGTTGTGCGTATAAGCAAGCGCAGTAGCATTTTTATGCAATAGATGTACGTGCTTATTTATAGTTTGAAATGATAATGTTGTACGCCGATTTCGATTATTCTCGGTTTACACAAAGCACATCGAATAAAACTATGCAATTAATAATTACAAATTTTTTTAACAACATATATACATAAGTTACACCGATTCGGTTTAGCTTTAATTTTGATCTATAGAAAATACATTCGATAATTGCATCGGTCGTGTGCTGCAGAAGTCCTTATCGAACTCTTATCGAACTTTCTATTTGCGCCTATGCCGGCAAGTCTCAGAAAACTGAACTGAAATATACTGTGTAGCGTATTTTTAATTTTTACACACCTACATGCTCATACAATAGATGTCGACCGAAACACGTGAGTCGTTTAATCAAGACCCTTTAACATCTTCGGTCGGGTAAGATAATTTCGTAGACACTACACCGATCTGTATGCCACCAGATTGTCCACCCGCTATACCCCTAACGCAATAATCGCCCTTAACGCGCATACACATTGCGCGGAAAACATTACAATTGTTATTAATATTTTATTATGTTATCATAACAGTTACAGCGGTTCCCAAACTTTTTTCGTTCAAACCTCAGCAGTATGCTAAAAAAAAAAAAATATTTACTCAACAAATTTAAACGATCCAACACGAGTGACAATTTTCGCTCGAAAACTTTTACTGTTCAACCGTTCAAACGATCCAGTTTGTGCGACAAAACGGTCTCGCGATAAATATCAGTAATTTTCACTCCCCGCGCAGTTTGTGAACCGCTGCAGTGCAAGAGCTTTAGCGTGACTCTATCCGTTTTTATCGGTTTGCCCGCCCCGGAAAACACACCGCAGAAACGATGAGAAAGTATCCGCCGGTGCAAGCGCTGTCCCGGGTGTGCACCAAACCGTACCGGATGCCTGGCATGGATGTGGACGTGGACGTGGGCACGGCCGTACTGATACCGGTATACGCGATACACCACGATCCGCGGTACTACGCGGAACCGGACACGTTTGACCCCGAACGGTTCGCCAGGGACGGCAGCGCGAGGCCCGCTGGTACCTACCTGCCGTTCGGCGATGGCCCGCGCATTTGCATTGGTACGTACATGTAGTCACACGCGGGAGGGAGAGGGTGGATTGATATGATCGCAGGGTATTCGTGTGGGCCGCTTCGTTTGTAGTTTTTAAATACAGTTTTTGTGTGAATTAACGTTTTTCTCAAAAGAGAAAAGCGTGCCTTGTGGGCCACGTCGATTTTCCCGGGACGAAGAATATCATGAATCCACTCCCACTTATCCGACCCATATTTAAATAACATATATATATATATATATATATATATATATGAAGGGTACAGGAGAAAAACGGTAGTAGTCCATTTCTGTGAATTTTTCAAGAGAGCAAAAACAACCACATAGACTACAATCATTCTTCCATGAGCATATATAGACTTACTTCTAGGGGGAGGGGGGGCAACTCAAATTTTTTTTTAATTCAGGCTCAAAATTTACAAGTAAATATTTGATAGTATTTAAATCTGATGAATCCTTAATAATTGTCGTTTTTTTTTTTTTTTTAATCTAATGCCGGATCTACTTCGAATCGACTTTAGTGTAGTTATTTCTTAACACCTATCTGTGTTTTGAAAGTTACGCTTATGTTTTATTTGATTTGACCAAAAAGCCAATTCAGTATTCGCAGCCACGCATAATTTTATTTCGTTATAAAATGATCCACATTAAAAAAATTTGAAATGTGTATTTCACATATAATCGATTCCTTAAATACGAATTAAGAGGTGACGATCGTCTCTTCGCCCCCTCCCCCCCTAAAATACGCCACTGCATTTTTCACTAGTATACCTAATCTTTTTCCGTAAATATTAGCGAAATGAGATTTTTTTTACGGAATCAATTTCAACAATCAATACTACTTCCGATTTGTCAAGCCATAAATACATAACCGAAAAAAAAGAACTACTATATTTTTTATTCTGTACCCTTCATATATATATATATATATATATATATATCACAGGCGTGCACAGACTTTAAGTTTGGGACGTGCCAGGGAAAAATGAACTAATTAGGTAAATGGGGTGAGGCAATTCTTCCATTTTTCTTTTATCACCTTTCAATAACAGATAATACAAAATAATAATTCTATACACAGTCTTTAGATTAATCTTTACAGTATTTTAATTAAATTCATAATTATATATTAATTAATTAAATATGCACTCAAAAAAAGTGTAGGTAATCACTTTGTTGATAATTTTCTTAGGTACATCATTCTTGTTAGTAAAACTTTTACAACAGAATAAAATTAACAGAGAAAAACAATAACAATATAAATTTTATTATCGTTATATCGTATGTTATTATACACATCACATTTAAGTTAGCAGTAGTAACTATAGAATACAATTTTCGGGTAGTGCCCAAGCACATTCGGAACACCCTGTACGCCTATGATCTATATCCAAATCTTCGGATTTGCCTAGTGGAACTCATTCATTTTGACCATTATTCTCAACAGGAATGCGTTTTGCCATGGTCGAGATGAAATTGGCGCTGGCACAATTCCTTCACAGCTACTCGGTGTCATTGAGCGACAAATCCTGTGCGCGTATCGAATTCGAACCGGCATCGTTTTTGTCGTGTCCCAAAGGCGGTATATGGCTGAACGTCGCTAAAAGATGAACCATCCTGCACGTGAGCTAAACTTAAGAGCTCACAAACGGTGGCGTGACAAACTTTATGCACTAATGAGGCACAATAATTTTTATTGTCGAACCAATCATCGATTACAATAAAAGTTAACTGTTTTTGAAGAAAATATATTTATTAATTTATACGTTTCTTTTAACATATCTGATGATCAAGTCTAAATTGTGCTAATATCATTTTAAAATAAATTTCGAAATTCCTTTCATAGCTCAAAAACATAATAATTTCCAAGACCCGAAATACCCACCACTTTTTTAATTTAAGACACGTGCAACAAATAATGTCCCCATCACGCCACTATCATCAAACATTCGTGTCTAGTTTGTATAACAAACAACTAAAATATAGAACTGTTTCTCTACCTGGGGGGGGGGGGTCGTATCCATAAGAAATAATTTAACGCTGATGTAGAAAAACAAAATTTTAACTATATTAAAAATAAACAATACATACTCATTATTAGGGCTGGGATTTCGATGCACTTTGCATTTTTTTTTTCTGTACGATGCTTGTTTTGTTAGATTGTTTTAGGTATTTTAAATTAGAATAAAAAAATTTATTTTGCATTTTTTTCGCATTTTTTGACAATTTTCGATTTTAAGGTCATTTTTCTCATTTTTTAGGAAATTTTAGGTTTTTTTTAAATAATTTTTGGAGTTTTTGAATTTAAAACTATAGATTGTAAATTCTTTCTACCGACGGATTAGTATTATATAGGGTATGCAATGTAAAAGTTATTGTTGATAAAAGTTTTACAATACAACATAATATGTTATATATATATGATATATTATATCAAGAGACAAACATATAAATAGAGTACAATGAAGAGAACAAATTGAAGAACAAGAAAAAAATATATATATCAACAAAAACTTATTGGGTAACAACAGGAAACACACTCTCGTGATTTAGTGTAATAACAACAAATTAATTTTTTATTTATTAATATATGAGGTAAAATAAAATATTCATGTACATGTAATATAATTTTTTAATTTTAAAAAGATATTTTAAATACATTTTAAAGGCATATTTTGAGTTTTTTAAGCCATTTTTGTATTTTTTTAAGATCATTTTTTGAGATTTTTAAGGACATTAAAATCCTAGCCCTACTCATACTACATAATAAAAAAACGAATATGTTAGTTAGAGTATACACTATAAAATTATTTTCATTCAACTAGGAATTAAAAAACTCGTATTTTTGTTTCATCAATGGTTAACGATATAATATATTTTGTAATTGGTAAAAAAGATAAAAGCTTAAATTAGTTTTTATTATAAGGAGGGGGCTTGAGATGACTGATTTTATTTTTTATTTATTTTGGAGGTCGCGATTTTAATATGGTTGAAAAACGCTGGTACAGAGCATACCTATTGCGTCACGTGCGGTTTATGCATATATGGAAAATGACCTCAGCGACCACGTACTATAGCTGATTTCATACGACCATAACATTAGTATAAGCAGCTGATTTACTATAATTGTTTAATGTATTCCATCAATTTAAAAAATAATGCACTTTATTATGTAAATTATGTTACTATTATATAATAATTATAATTGCTTTTCAGTAAATACCTAATTTTATTCTTTATTTATTGTTTCTTATTTATATAAAATAAAAACATATTATTTTTATAACATCATAATTAATTTTATTGTGAAATTGTAAATTTGACACTAAGTACAAAATCATCCCCAAATGATAAATTGTCAGTACATCCTTGCAGTACCCTTACTATTACACAAATGGTATAATACTAGTTATGGGTTACTGCTTTTTATTTTTTCTCTCTTTTCCTAGTTCCTTCCCCTAACATCAACGTCAACGCATCATGACCGAACATTGATATCACCAAATTCTATACAGTCCAGACATATTAGGAAAAATATTGGAACTAATTCCTCAAAAGCTGAATTTTGGTACACAATCAATCTATAGTTTACTGATTGACATACTATAAGTCCCCAGACATGCCCCTAGTGCATAGCTCTTCATCCCTTAAAAAGGGGGTGCGTACCCTCTTTTCAATTTTACACTGTAACTTGTTTAATTTTGGACTTACAGCTAAAAAGTACAAAACAAAAATTAAAGGCCGTAAAATTGTCAATATAAGTATGTCATTTTGTATACTTAAATGATCATGGAATAGCGGTAAGTAAATTTTTTTTGAAAATAATTGAATTTTTTGAAATTTTTTTTTTTGTTTTTTTAAGCTTTAGCCAAAATTACTATTCATACGTCAAAATGAATTATTCGAAAAATTAAAGTCCTAATAATTTTACACAAGATTCCAATTTTTATATTTTTTTATATGTAATACCGTAGTCTCAAAAATGTTTGATATTTGTAGCAGTGAGCCATAGTTATTTGCGATACTAGAATATTTAACATTTTTGTAAAATAATATAGTCTAATAAGTTCAGCGTACGTTACCATTGAACATTACATTAGTCCTTAATACTAAACTATGAGCATAATTATTTATCCCTTATAAAAGGGCTGAGCATTTTGCTGGTTCGCACATTTTCGTACAGGTATAACTGATAACTGTCAGCAAAAATTCTAGTGCTGGAGGTTTTTTGGTGAAATTCGGTCTTATTGTATTTCCATATGTTTCCCACCCCCAATCTATTGGGTTTAATATATTGCCACGACAAAGTTGCACTTGCAAGTAAGCTCGAAAAATTTGTTGTTTTATAGAATTAATTGTTGGCGGAAGTCGACTTAATTGTACTTGTTTTTTGTTTGAAGCAACGGTTCTGTTGAAGACATATTATCTATACTGGTTCAACGATGTAATGAATTTTGGTGCATTAAATAGTTTCAAAAGAAATTCTTGTCCAACACTGAAAATATCATCAGCTGAAGATGACTCATTATTGAAAATAAATAATGAATCTTGAAGTTCTGAATATTTCTGAAATGTTTTGACGTATTTCAGTTTTCCTTGTTGAAATATTGATGACGCGGTATCGCATCCACTTATTGCGTGAATAAACATAAAATGCGGAATCATATTTTGAAATTGTTCTTTTAGAGTCTGTATCGAGTAAAACTTGGTCTTCATTTTTCCTCTTCCAGGTTTTAGAAACACGATTTGATCACTCTGTGAAATACTCTGTGTCAGTTTTCAAAAATTGATTAGGTGGAGGAAAATATTCAAGATTATATGGTACTGATCTGATACCTTCACGTATCGTAGTAGTATATGTTTCTACAATTCTTAATCGTTCTTCTTTCGTATCCCTTTTTTAGAATCATACCACGCATTCATCAATTATTTATACTCTGTGTTTTTGAAACTAACTACCGATTTTTTTCCACGAGCTGAAGTTATAAGTATGTCATCACCGTACTTCTCTTTTCATTTATTTCTTAAAGTTTTTCCTTCTCATAGCCCTTCCATCTTATCAAATAACATCTTCATACTAAATTGGCATTCATTTTCGTTTTCAATAAAATTGCACAAATTGGAAAAAGCATTTTCCAACCGTTCGTCATGCGGTCGCCTCCTTTTTCTATTTTCGATAGATGGGAATTGATTGTAAAATTTTCGTTCACATGCCTTATGGTATTTTGCCTCTTTAGCAACTAAACAAATAACACTATTTATCCGCCTAAGTGAAGTACTTAGCCCAATCGTCACCTCTTTTATTCACTACATCCTAAATTGATTGTTTGAAATAGAGTATAGAGACATTAACGACAATACCACGACGGTCTTTATTTAATTTAATTTCTAATTCTTTTGAACATGGATGATAACAAAATAAACAATTTTCTTTAAATTTACATAAATATTTAGAACTATAGTTATTCTATAGTTTCTATGAATACGATACCGAAATGATTCTGATAATGGAATTTGATAAAATCCTGACACAAAATCAATTACACTAAATAATTGACATTGTCTTAATTGAACTAATATTTTTGTTATGTTAGGTAATGGATGAAATTCATTTAAAGTGACTTCATTTAATGCTTTAAAATCTATAACTACTCTAAATTTTGGTTTACCACTTGCGTCTGATTTTTTCTTCACTAATAATAAAGGTTGCATTCCACTGACTCATATATTGTTCTATAATATCATCATCTACCATTTTCCGAATTTGTGAATTTATTTTATCTTGTTGCCAATAGGGTAATCTTCATGGTCGTTATAAATTGGTGTTTGATTATCTTTTAATTTAATATCATACTCCGGGACATTTGTAAAAGTTATGTGGTCTCCAGCTAAGTGAAATATTTCGGAATATTGTTCATAAATTTCAATTATTGATTGTTTTTCTTCTTTATTCATGTGTTCGGTACGTATTCAATTTTTTATTTTATTTATTCTACTTATTTTATTCGAATTATATTCAGCATTATTATTATTCATTTTTAACATTTTATTTAATTTAAATAATTTTATATTTAAATCTTCTTCAGATATATTTAGTAAAACTCTCATATTTAGGTACTTAAATCAAAATTGCATCTTTTGAAACTATCTATCTATCTAACTATCTATTTAATTTTTCGTTCAATTTGTTTTAAGTCCTTTATTATTCAATTATTGATAATAATTGACAAATAAATAAAAATTATTGACAACTTTGAAATTATGGTAGGCTAATAAAAAAAAATAGAAATAATTCCCATTTCCGTCGGTGAGTAGAAGTTTTGTAGTGGTCCTACCCAAAAACAATATCCTAGCTACGTCCCTGAATAACTGATAAGTAGGTATAGTCAAAATAATAATATTTAGATTTAAGATTTAGTTACTTTATTATTATAATCAAAAAATCATCTTGATATCTAATACATAAATTGTCCATTTTTAGATAACTCGTTTGTCGTCCTGTTTCTATAATGAACATCCTTTTTTTAGTGTTCACACATTTATATTTTAAAAAAATTTGAAATCTAACCTATGATTTCTATCAAATCTTCAGTAGCTATTTTTTTTTCAAATTCAAATCCTATACGTTTATAGTTATTAATAAAACAATAGTAATTAATGTAACTTATAATATTGTGACATCTTAACTATCTAAATTAATTTCAACTTCTGTAAACTTTTATTAAGAATATAACAAACTGACGAGGTACCTATAAGTTAATAAAAATAAAAAATGCTCTGAAATTTTGTTAAAGGATACCAATTGAAATTCTTGATATTGACCAGTTGTATTTTCCTTAATATTCTAATTCTTACATATACAATCAGATATTTCTATGTTATTATTCTTTACTCTTTAGTTTGTCTATTATAATTTTTATAATAGATCCGAGGTTCAGGAAAATATTACTATTTTTTTATATAATTACTTACATAGAACTGGCTATATTAAAAGTAAAGTACTTAAAGTATTATATTGGGAAAAATAACTTTTCATTGCTATGATGATTTCGCTTATTTACCATAAAATTAAACGCTGTTAATTGAATTCAAATCATCCAAATTGATCCAAGTCATCTATAAACTGAACGAAACAATTACAAAATTATTTCAAAATGTCCAATTATTTCGTTCGGCTTATAGGTGACTTGGATCAACTCGGATGACTTGAATTCAATTAACAGCAGCGTTTAACAATGCAGAATTGTATATAATTTTGTAGTTTTTCGGTCAAAAATATTATCAATGTCCTGATTTATCTGAGGAAACCAATGATAAAATCAATTGAAGACTATTCAAAACGTACATCGGTATTCAAATCCAATTTAATTTTACCACTAGCTCAATCGTATAAAAAAAAAAATATTTTTTAATAAGAACTACTAAAAACGTTAAGCCGTTAAGCGAGAAAAAAGCCATCAAAGTGGGCTCTAAGTTGCGGTCCAATGCCAATCTATTTGCTACTGGCATTGGTATATTAGTGTTCTGAAGTTAAGCATGCGGTCCAGAATGCGGAAAAATATATGAAAAAGAATGTATGTGAAAGCCACAAAAATTAAAAAATTAAATCAACATTTTAAAATCGTTATTGTTCATATACGAAGAACTAAAACGTCAAACTAATATCCTATTAGAGAAAGAATTAAGAAATACTACGGAAAATGAACACGTAATAAATAAACTTGGTGAAGAATTAAGGCGCCTCAATATTGAAATTGACGATTTAAAATCGAAATTAAAAATTTCAACACCGGGACCAAAGTAATATATAAATATTGAACGAATATTAAGAGGACGTCTCATAGAAACGTGTTGACATACAACGTTCGAGAGATACCGCTGTCGTGGCATGCCGAAACCACGCCTATTGTCTACGCTACAGGTCCGCACGTCCTAATCGCGGGAGAGGCACATTATTTAATCACAAACGACCGTTTAGAACATTTCGCATAAAACTAATGCGTGAATTGTCGCTCAACGCTGGACACTGGACTTGAATAATTCACATTAACGAAAAACTGCGATAAGATAAAATCAATTATACCGTTCAAAAGACTATAAATATCAGATACAATGTGCTCCTTTCCAGACATTCCAAATTTAAAACTATACCGTTAAAAAAAACTAATCGTATAGTACGCTAACGTATAATCTTAATTTATTGTCTAATATAAGTCTCTGGTTGGTGACGTATAAATTAATGAGTACCAAAATTTAGCTATCGCAGTATTTATTAGACTATATTATTTTACAAGTGTTAAATATTCTAGTATGGCAAATAACTATAGTATATAACTATATTGTAGCTTATCGCTACAAATATCAAACTTTTTTGAGATTACGGTAAGATATATAAAAAAAAATAAAAAACAGAATCTTATGTAAAACTATCAGGTCTTCGTTTTTTTTTAATAGATTATTTCGACGTACGAATAGTAGTTTTGGCTCAAACTTAAAAAAAACAAAAAAAATTCAAAACAATGTTTTTTTCAAAACAATTTTACTTACCGCTATTCCATGATCATTTAAGTACACAAAATATGACATATTTATATAAACAATTTTACGGCCTTTAATTTTTGTTTTGTACTTTTTAGCTGCAAGTCCAAAATTAAAAAAGTTATAATGTAAAATTGAAAAAAGGGACGCACCCTCTTTTTAAGGGATGGAGAGCTATGTACAAGAGGCATGTCTGGAGACTTTTAGTATGTCAATCAGTAAGCTATGGACTGATTGTGCACCAAAATTCAGCTTTCGAGGAATTAGTTCCAATCTTTGTAGGATTTTTGTCTAATTTGACTGAAATAATAGGGTGTCTCAAAAAGAATGCAGGATTTAAAACAGCTATAAATAAAATTAATTTCTTTAAAAAAAATAATAAAAATATATCATTCTCTTTAGAAGTTAAGGTTTAACAGTGAAAAACAATATTGGGCATATGACACTCCCTGCTAGCCCTACAGGCGATTATTATTTCCATACAATTTACCGTCACTCGATCGCACATTGCCCCATCAAGTTCGTTGAGGACGCGAAGAATTTCATACTTGAGTTCTAAGACATTTCACACTTTGTTCTGATAAACTCGTGGCTTAGTGTATCCCCATCAATCACACGGCGTCAAGTCGCAAGATCGAAATGGGTTGCTTTGATTTCCACGCTATGAAAGGAACTTCTTGCGCACCAGAGTGATTGTTTCTCTTGAAGCGTGACAAATTGAAACCCAACATTTTTTATGTTCATTTGGTCCAAACAAGACCAAAGAAAATTATTGAGTTCAGTAGGTATTCTTATATGGTTACAGCAAGACGGCGAAACTTGTTACACTTCAAGAGAAACAATCGTTCTGCTCCGTGAGAAGTTGCCGGACAGACAAATCTTGTTGCGTTGCCAAAGCTACTTCCAATGTTTATCATATTTAGTTGAGTTTATTATCTAATATTATTTATCTATTATAATTTTTTATAAATTTAGAAACTATTAACAATTATACTTCAGCAATATCCAACTTGGGCACGGCCACCCACTTGATGTATTTTTACATTTAAGACAGTCGTTTTATTCAAGGAAGCGCTAAGAGATTCTCATTAGATAAATTGTTTTTTGATAAAACCAATTATTATATACCCTCTAATTTGAAAAAAAAAGTGGTGTTAGTAATTAAGGGTTTTCCCTCAACCAATAGACCAGATTTTTATTAACAAAAAATCATTAACCTTCAGATATTCACAAATAACATAGGTAAGTATTTTTTTAGAAATTTTTTTGTAATAGAAAATTTAAAATTATATTCTAAGTAGATATTTACATTTTTAATTAAAAATTTTATTTATTTTTCAAAGATACAGGTATACTGCGATGAGATTTTTGAAAATCTGGAGTGCATTGAATGAAATAAGGTCGGGATAAAACTACAACACGTCTAAATAATATTTAATATGATTCATTATAACTTATTTACGGGTAGTAAATTGAGATATCATAAGTAATTAAAGTAATTAAATGAATCTTAAATTTTACCAGTTATTTACTACACAAATTTTTTTTGCAAACCAAAACGTGTATGGCTTGCTTAAGACAAGAAATAAATATAGAATTTTATAGTTAAAAATAATAGCTAACCTTGAGATACAATATTCCAAGCAGGTTTTCATTAACATTTGAAATTTAAATTATAGCATGTTATTAATTATTTTTAAGCACATTGATGACTCCATAGTTATTATTAAAATAATATAAGAAAAAAATGATTCACTTGTATCAGTTAAATTTAATCTTTGAGAGGCGAACACAATGACAAGTAAATTACAATGTGCAATATAGCAACAAGCACAATGTATATAATTTTCAAGATATTTCAATTTTAATATTAGTTCACCAAGAAAAGTAAAACACTTACAAAAAATTAGCATTTGGCGAATTTTGTGAATATTCTTGTCTATTTAACATTTTTACAAATATTGAAATGTTAAATGTAATTATATAGTTGCATATAATTAATATACAGAAATTTAAATTTTCAAAAATTTGTTTTTCAATAGTACACAATTACTATTATTTATTTATTATCATACTGCAATAACCTAAGAAAAAAGTTGTAATAAATAGTTATGTCCAAAGATTCAAATGTTGTTACATAGTAAATAAAAAAATACTAAATACAAAATGTATAACAAATAAAAAAAAAAATGTTCATAGTATTATATACACTAATATAAAAAGGAAAGAACTGTTGGATTTTATCAACTGGTTAAAGCATGTATTGTAGGAGCATGTCTTAAACTTTCAAGTGAGGACCCATCCAGGAACTAGTAAAACTAAATGCAGCTTAACCATAGTGCCAAAAGACTGTAATTATACCTAGACCACATCATGCCCCTAATAAATAATCAATAAATACCTTTGATAACATATGTTTAATGCTAAAAAGTAACATATGACTAAAATTGTGGACAATATTATCAACCACAAAATTATGCAGAATGTAAAACACCTGTATTATATAATTATTTTCATATATCATAACAAATTATAATTAAGTTTCAAATTATTATTAATATACTAAAAAATAAAAATAAAAATTGGCCAATTTGTATACACTAACAAAAGTTCAATTATGACCACTTGATATTTCTTGAAAATAATAAATACATTATTACAATAATTAAAAAAAAGATAAAAACAATCAGTGTTATAGATTATTTTGTTATTTAAACTATGTTTAACCACCTTAACACACAAAACTTTGCATAATTATAATATATTAAAACTAAATTATCTTTTATACGTTTATATATGCATATATAAATATAATGTGTACAAATACATAATTATTTTTATTTTATTATAAATTATGCAAAAGTAATATTTTGTGAACTAAATATAAGATAATACTGAATTCTAAAATGCTAAAGGGTAAAAGAAATATTAATGAAATAATAAAAATATAATTAGTTGATAATAAAATATTTTTCAAATTGTAATATTTTAATTTTATAATTATTACTATTTATTATTTTCTTTAACATACAACTATTTTAATTTTTTTACAAGGTTTTGTACAAAATTGTTGTTGATATATGTACAATTTGATTAGGTACTTTAAATATTATCTTATGTACATGAACGAAAAAATATAAATATAGTAATTTGGTAGCAAAATTATTAATCAATAGATCACTGCATTCAAAATACTTGTATCAAAACAAAAATAATAATATTATAATATGCAAAAATGTATCCCTAGTTTATAGTCTTAAATATTATTCTCAACACTAAATAGAAATTTTTTGAGCGTTTCGAACAAATAATAAAAGTCAAGTCAATTTAGACTATATACTTGCAAAGTCCATAATTTTTACTACATATTGGTTTGAACATAGAGAAAAAAAAATTACCAAATTGTTAAAGTCTAGAAAACAAAAATTGATTAGAGTAAAAAATCATCTACATTTCTTAACAAAAAAAAAATAAAAATTGACATTATTTCAATAATGAAATTCATTTTTACAATGAATTATTTACATGGAAGGCACACATTTTGCTTTATTTACACAAATATACATACTCTAAATACATAGGATGAACGGACAGAAGAATCTGAAGATTATTTTATTTTTTTTTGGCATAATTGGTCATCACATTCATTATGGAGCCAATGTTTGTTCGAATGCTGCCATCAGATCACTCTGGCGATTCATATCAATCTGGTTCACCATCTAAATTACAAAAATCCAGTTTCATTTATAATATTATGAAATTCAACTGAGAAATTATATATATATATCATGAATTAAGTGGTTATTATTGAAATTTATATTATTAATATTAATAAATTAATTTACAAATGTTAACAATATAGATCAATTATTTTTAATAAATAATATAGTAAATTATAATCTAACTAATTATTTCTTTAAACCACATAAACAATAAGATAATAATTTATGAAACTGGCAATTTATGATTTAAAATAAAATAAAGTTTACCGCTTCTCTGCGCCTTCTTTCTTGTTCTCGTAATCTTTGCCTTTCACGTCCCTCAGCAGCACGGTCTTGACTGGGACTTGAACTGTCATCTGTATTACTAGATGCTTTAACTTCATCTAAACGAGATGACTGTTGCTCAGCAACAATTTTTCTAAACATTACAGTAAATGGAGTTCAAGAATATTCTTAAATCATAAAAAAAATAACTTCATTTACCTAGCTTTTTCAAGGGCTTCTTCTTCTTCTTTTTCTCTTCTCTTTTCATTTTCAATACGGATTCTTTCTTTTTCTGCTTGTTCTTTTTGATGACGCCTTAATTCTTGTTGTTCAATCAAAGCACGTTGCTAATAAAATTATAATTAAAATATTTAGCTATCTAAAAATTACAGCATTAAATAGTAGAAACTGTTAGGAATTAATAAAGATTTGTTCTCAACAGTTAATTTCAAGCTCACACAAGTATCAAATTATCAATAGAACAAGATCTAATATAATGTACCAATTTATATAATAGTATTTTCATATTTTTTGATTTACAGAATAATTCAGATTTTATCATATCTTATTTGATGATATATGATTATATATATATATAGCATACAACAGATTTTTTGTCAATAAATCATTATAAATATTACTATGAAGCAAAATTAAAGTTTTTATTTTATATATTATTTTATTAGGAAAAAATTAAAATTCACTATTATCAATGTATAATGAAGAATATATGTAAGTAACATAGAAAAATAAAAATAATACAAGGATGATCAATATTATACCTAATAATAGCAAAGAAAAAACCAATATAATAAAACCGTCCTAAAGATACAAACTACTATTACTAAGAATGATTTACATATTTTTTTAGCATTTTCCTTTGCTTGCTTTTTAAATTGTTGAAAAGAATCAGCTGTGGATGGTTTTACTGAAGCTCCAGGTGCTGCAGAATTATTTGCATCTGTAGCAGCTTGTTGAGCTAATGAACTCCAAACACTTGTAGCAGCATTAACAACTCTTTGATCTGACAACTATTATATAAAAAAAAAAAAAAACTATATATTTAAACTCTTATAAATTAAATTTAAATACAGTTATACATAAAAATTATTTCAAATAATATAGGCTAAATAAAAAGCTAATTACTAAATAAAGACAATAGTATGTTATACTAATATATCTAATAATTATTTGAACCATATTAATAATTTAATAAATTATTAATATGGCTCAGCCAATACTATACATATTATATACTATTATTTTGAGCAGCCAATCACAATAATTGACTAACTTTTACTATTTTTTTATTTTATGAAATCCTAATAATTTTAACTTCGGTGAATGTTTAAATAATTACTAGAGATAGGATGTTGATGAATGTTCCATTTTTTTCTTTTGACCATATACAATGCTACCATAGCTAAAAATTTGTTCCAAGCTCATGTGATTCAGAATATACTAATTTTCCTTAATATTTTTTGATATTTTAGCTTTAAATGTAATTTTTTTTTTTGTTGTTTAACATTATTTATCATATTTTTATATCATTTTATCATATTATAAGTCATTTTTGATATTTTACTATTTCATGCAAATTTTTTTTCAAAAAATATATTTTAAAAAAAATTTAATAAAATAACTTTATTACTATTATTGAGTGTTTATGTTGAGATAAGATTTATAAGCATACTGATACAGATTTACTGTTCACTTTTAATATTTTCAGTGATTTTCATTGAGAGGTTATGCCAATCAACAAACAATAAATACCAAATAAAATATTTTAAATTATACTATTAATGTCTTTCTTATATAAATTTTTAATAACTGTAAACTAAACTAAAAATTAGAGTATTTTATTCATTTTTTATTTCATTACAACATTTAGATAATTTTCTGTATTTTTTTAGGCATTATAGAATATATTTTTTGGTCATTTTTAGTTCATCAACATCTTATTTTTAATAATTATATAAAACTTATTAATGAGTGATAAATTTATACAAAAAGAAAAAAAATTAAAAAACTACCAAAATATCTATAAATATATATCAATATATTCATAGTTACATAAATCTTAAAAAGCATAACATGCAATGCAGAAACTAAATTAACAAGCAACCTAACAAAATAATACATTTTAATTGATAATTTATTATTAAAAATACCACTTTAAAAAAATTAATAGCTAAACAAAAATCAAATATTTAAAAATAAATAATTAATACTTTACATCAAATACTGTATTTTTTTAAATTAATGTATTAATTAAAATTATATAACATGGATAATGCAAATGAGAACAAAAAAAAATTTAAGAGTGGAAAAAATGCAAAATGCAAAATTTGTTTAAAATTTATAATATATTCAGAGGTATATATATATATGTTTCTTACATATAGACCTGTGGAAAATTGACGCTCTAAATCAGAGTTTCCCAAACTCAAATTAATATTTTTTTCCCTTCGTGACCCACCAAAATATTATACATTTATCATTGTATAAAAAAGGCAAAATAAAACACATTTAAATGTCCACATAGCATTTTATAATAAAATTGAAGCGTTAATTTGTTATTATTATACTGTATAGATATATAGATACAACAAATGCCATACTATAAGGGTTTTTCATAAAGTCTAGTTGATAATCTAAATAATTATTATTTATATTGTAAATAATAGTTATTTGTATAATTGAATTTATTTTTACTAAAAAGTTCAAATTATCAAATGAAATAATAAATAAAAAATTTAATGTGAGAAATTTATTAAATTCTGCAACCCGGTAATATATTTTCATGACCCACTATTCGGGAAACGCTGCTCTAAATAACTAAAATAATATACCGCACTAATTGAATTATCATTTAATTTTTTACTATAAAAAATATATTAATTAGATAATTAACAAATTTTATTTAAATATTAAAACATAATTTCTAAAGGTTTAAACTATTTTTATTAATAATTAGTAATAAAATAAATTCTTCAAATTTACTGTTATAGACAAGTGCTTATAGTGCCTGCATATAAATACGCCACTAAATATATTAATAACAATTATTAAATGCATGCTTAATCACTACTGCAAAATGATTTCTACCGCAACATTTACGTATGCAAAAATAGTATGTTCATGTAGCTTAAATTGTGATAATTACATCTGCTGCATCATAAGAAGGCCCAATATTAGGATCCCATGGGACAGGAAAAGAGTGTAGATGGTGGTGGTGGTGCCGTATTGGTCCCATAAATGATGCTGGAACCTGAGGGGAGGAATCTAAATTGAACTGTGGAAATACCTGAACCCCAAAAGTGTTAAAGTTAATATTGTTAAGTTTTCATATATATTTAAGATATTTATGGTGAATTTTTACTGTCAATGAATAATTTTGAACTATTTATTAAACCAACACCTCCATTTCATAAAATAGCATAAAAATACATAAAGTAAAACGTGCTAATAAATTAAATACATTTAAATAAATAAATAATTTAAATTGCATTTGTGATTGTGAATTATGCATATATTTTCTTATCAGTAAAGAATCATAATATCTTAATTACATAAGTGCTACATATGGAATAGATACAAAATATTATGTAATCTTAAATTGTTAAGTTATATTAACAATATCAAGTATAATAAACAATTTTAATGTTTTTAGCGGACATTAATAATTTAAGCATGTTCATATAAAATATAAAAATGTAAAAAATATTAGTGTTTAATTAATGAGGTAAAATAACTTATATAATGTACACATTCATTAAGTGCATAAGTGATGTTATTTTTATTAATACATTATTAATCTTGAAATTTACCTGATTTGTATTTTGAATAACGGGTGTGATTGGAGATGGTCGAGGCTTGCTATCTATTGGTGGTTGGACCATTAATGGTGGCCCAGCTGAATGATGAACAGCAGCAACAGAATTCATGACTGGGGCAATATCAACATGCTGAACTGCAAGTCCTGAAAGAAAATAATTAAGTATTGCTGGTGAAAAAAATTGTATTTAATATTTTCTAGCCAAGAATAAATACAAATAACCGTATAAATTTAATAAATAAATTATAATTAAAAAAAAAAAAAAAAAATCAATCAATAAAATTTACCATCATTAACAAGAACATTATGTATGTTAGATGTAGGTACAACTGTATGTGCTGCCTGTTTGTCAGGGACACGTAATGAATTATTATTAGTAGGCTGACTACTAGGAGGTGTAAGAGGATCAAACACTGATGTCATTGTCGAGAGTACTGCATTATCATTATGCATGTTCCCTAAAGACACTGAATGTTGTGAGGTACTACTGCTCACTGGAAGTCCCGGTTCAGTTTTAACTTCTACCTTAGTTGGCTGTAATAAAACTCCATTAGAAGTAATATCTTGTGCCATTGATGAATTATTTGAATCTCCATCTAAAACATTAGGGTTAACTAAAATACCTTTAAAAATATATTTCAGTTACGAAAAAATGTAGAAAAACAATGTATAAAAATCATTACTGGATATATTTCCATTTGTTGTAGGAAGACTTGGAACAGTAGAAACAACTGGTGTGGGTTTAGATGTGATAGGAGGATTTGTTTTGGTGTTATTCAGAACCATTGGATTTGTTACTACTGGTGGTTTTTTTGGTGGAACATCTAAAAAACAAAACAAATTAAAAATTGATTTAAAAAAAAAAAAATTAAATTAATTTAAAATCAACTAATATATCATAAGGCTGAATTAATAATTAAAAGTAAAAGCAGCATTCAAAACAAAATTACTCATGCAAGATATTAAGCATAATATATTATTTCCACAATATCAGTTCCTACCTAGTGATTAAAAATATAATCAAATTAGAAGTCAATTAAGTAATTTAAAATTTAACTAAATGCTAATTATAAACAAGTAGAAAGTATATTACCTGGAAGTATATCAAATATATTACTAACAATTGAATAGTCATAAAGTTATTTTAAAACATAATTCAAAAATATTAATTAATTAATAAGCTAATATTTCCCAACCTATAATAGTATATCAATTATTGTATTTTTATGGCTAAAAAATATTATAAAATTTACATACACTTTGTAAGTACACTACAAAAGTTACCGAAGACATGCATTAAAAAATATTTAAAAGCAATAGGAATAGATATTAAAAATATTAAAATTCAGAACTCTTTAAATTTCTCTTCAAAAGATGATAATATATTATTGTTTTTGATTAGAAACTCTACCATTGAGTATTTTAAAATACAGTAAAACCTTGATAAGACAGAATTGCTTAGGACCTTGACATTTTTCCGTGTTAATGGGGTTTCCGTCTTGATGGGGTAAGTTAATTATATATAATTTGTAACTGAACTAAAAAAATGTTCTGTAATACCGGGGTTTCCATCTTACTGAAGTTCCGTCTTATAGAGGTTTAACTGTATATAAAATATAAACCAACCAACATGAACTTGGTCTAAAAAAGTTTAATGAAAGCTAAAGGTACCCTTAATTAATGACATTAATATAAATATTTTAAAATTAAATATCATAAAATATCATGTTATATTGATTATGTATTGTGCATAATTTAGTAAGAATAAGATATCACCAAAGTATGCTAAATTATCAAATGCAATTTATAAAAAAAATTAATAAAACCGAAGGATCATTAACAAGTACAATATCCACATGCAGTATTAAAAATGAACATCTATACATTATAACAAAAACTCAACATGCAAAAAAATAATAGAAAATTACAATTATGAGGTATAATGTGCAACCATAATCAAAAATGAACAGTAGAACCTCAAAAAATAAAAAATAATTTTTTATCATATAAAAATTTAAATACTGACTCGGTTGAGCGCTAACAACAGGTTTGTTGATAGAATTGACAGGTGCTGAGGTTGGACCCGTTTGTTTCAGAGCATTTGCCGATTTTTGGCCTTCAGTTGATTTCTATAACAGACCAAAAATCGACTATTGAAGAAACAAAATTAATGGTATACAAATAAGAGAAAAGAATGATACTCACGTTTATCGACACGTCGTCGGACAAACGTTTCTTCTTTTTTTGCTTGTTCCCACCTTAAAAAATTAAAATATTTGGTATTTTTCTTGCATTTCAAAAATTATGCTATTATAATTGAATAATAAGAAATGCAAATGAATTGTCGACCAATAAAAATCTAAATTCTTAGACTTTTTAATTTCAGGTAATAGAATACATTTTTACTTTAAAAACTTATATCATATGAAATGTAATCATTCTCTTGCCTTATCACATTTTTATTTAAAAATTGAAATACAATAAATGTGTAGTCAGAAACTCAAAACACAAAAATAAATTTCACTTGAAATAACTAAAAAGAGAAATTTTGAATTCAAAGTATAAAATATTTGTCCCAGTTACAAATTTAAATATGTAGTCATAAAATATAATGTACAGTAATCCATACCAAATTAACATAGCTAAGATCAAAATTTTTTTTTAATTATAGTATCATATTAAATTAAATTAAATGATTGATAACTTTTACTAAATATAAAATATAAACTTTGCTTTTTGTAACTTTCAATAACTAATTATTAATTAAATACAATCAAATTCAAAAATTCATGCTGAAATAACATATTTATTTAAATGTAAATCGCATTCATAAATTATTAAAAATAATAATACAGATTTCATTTAAATTAAGAAATAATTGTAGGTAACATTGTCAACAAAAATAATGCAGTCATAATTTTATATATAAAAATACATAACAATGTTTTTATTATAATAATGGCTGTATAAAATCTAGCAGACTGTGTTGAGTATAAAATTCAATTAATAAATAGATTTAATTAATAAAAATTTATAAAAATAAATTGTACGACTATAACTGTTATTTGACATGTGGTCAAATTCGCATATTAAATTTTTTAAACAATATTTATAATAATAAAATAACGTTGAAATTTTATGTTAAAGCAAATAAATCACTAAAAATTGATATTTATATTGAAACTCAAGAAAAAGAAAATTACCAATACAAACAATGATGCGTTTTATAAAATATATTTATATTTACTCATAAAGTATGAACCATTGTTTGTTAAAAAAGTATGCAATAAAAGACCGAAAAAAAGTCAAATTTTAAAACAATATATAAATATTATAATTACCCAAATTAAAACTTAAAAAAATATTTATTGCCCAATTTTGTTTATCATAAAAAGATAATAAACCAGAGTGCAAATGTGAGCAAAAATTATAAACTAACAAATAAATTAAAAATATATACATTTTATTATGTTTGTTTTGTATATTATGTAAGTATACAAAATTAATATTTTACAAGTTTACATAAAGATTTTTCATGTCAATTTTTTTATACAAAATAAAAAAGTTAAAAATGTAATGTCATTTTTGAACACATTTAGGTTGCATGGTGTAAGAAGAATAAGTAATGTGTTACTTAAAATTATTAATCTAATATGGCATCATAAATAGTAAATACAATAAAAAATAATTTAAAAAAAAAGTACAAAAGAAAACATATGGACGGGCTTTCATTAAATTCAACTTACAAAATAATTGTCTTGAATAAATAATAAAATATATAAAAATTGATCTGTTTTAATGAGTTCGGGGCGAAGGCTAAGAGTGCAAACAATAAAAATTACAATCGTCATGTAAATAATTAAAACCATTGAGAATGTGCATTGTTTGCAATCAATAAAGGGAACCACTAAAAAAACTGACATGGTACTTAAAATATGAATAAAAAGTATTTCACCATTATTAACTTAAAAACAAATGCTCACATGTTCTGCACTCTAGCCTAATCCCTGAAATATTTTTATTTAAAATAGATCTCCAGAAATCTAGCCTTCCGGTTTTTTCAACCCCTTATCGGTTATTGCATCACCTACAAGAGACAAACAAAAATTGTTGATTTTGAGAATTTAGTCTACTTAAAATTTTTTTAACACATCACTAAGGTTCATTTTCAGAACCATCACCAAATATATGTACATACATATATACATACATACATACATACATATACACACACACACACACACACACACATACATACATACATACATACATACATACATACATACATATATACAAACATACACTACACTGTACAAAAAAAGAACAATTATTTACTAAATGACAATTAATACTTTAATGATTAACACAACGTATTCGAGCAATGAACGATTATTTAAACGAGTGACATAAAATTTACATAAGTAAGAATTTATCATATTTCATTCTTAATACAAAAGCATACATTTTTACCCAGAATACAGACAAAAGCAAAATTTAAAAAATTATGTATACTACTAACATGATACCAGGCTGTACTAAAAATCCAGTTTTTTTTTTTAATAGAATTAAGACAGAATAGTAAGAAACACATTAAGTAATAAAAACCATTTTGAAAGAGATTTTATATCCACACAATTTTACAATGCATTTTCTTTAATTTAGGAATTAGACATAGACTATACAATAGAAAAATATTAAATTTAAAATATTTTAAATCCAGCTTTCAATTTAAATTGAGCTTTAAAGAAAAATATATATTTATTTGTTATAAAAGAAAAAATTACAGTACATAAAAATGATATAAAAAGCAAAACTGGTGGATATAAAATCTCCATATTGAATAATAATAATAATAATATAATGTATATAAAATTTATATATATATATATCTCAATTGTATCATAAAAATAATTATTAGATAAATAAAATATCACGAGATAATAATTAATAATTAATTTCTGATTTAATAAAAAAAAACTTCCAAATAATTGTTTTTAATTCTTAATTTATAATGGACAGATATATCACAAAATGTGGTTTATTTAATTCTTGATTTAGTTAGAACTCAACGCATCATTTAAAAAAAATTTATTGATGCAAAGATATATATTTATTGTTGATAAGTTTATCATTTGAAAATTAAATAAACAAAGATAAAAAAAAAAGGATTTATTTATGCATATTTTTGAGAATTGATTAAGCAGTGGTCGTCTCTCGATGTTTTATTTTAATAGCTGAATATAATAAAAGAAATTATTAATGATTTGATGTATACTTTAAATAAAACTACTAAATTACTACAACAGTTAACAGAAAAAGTGCAGAATTTTAGAAATTTTAATTATATAAATCAAATAATAGTTTTATATTTGAATTAAAAAAAAAAAATTGAATAAAAACAATTTCAACACAAAAAAAATGTATTAGGAGATACAAAGTTAAGATAGATGTAATAAAATAACAGCTTTCAGGGAAAAAAAATATTGTTAAAAATTATGAGATAATATACTTATTATCTTCACAAATATCTAAAAAAATTAATGTTTTACAAAATATATAAATACATAATTTAGAAAAAAAATATTCTAAAATATTTCTTATCACATAAGATATGAAAGAACTATGATTAAATAATATGTCAAGAACGACTGATATTTAATATACGCTGAATATAAATAATCCATAATATTGATAAGTCACAAAAATAAGCATTTCAAATTTCATTGATATCATCAATTTAAAACTAATTGTTAATGATAAAATATCCAGAATAAAGCATAAGGAAATGATAATTTGATGTTTATAAGTTGTATAGACTTTATTTCCTTATATTTTATAAAATAACTAAATCACTGCAACACAATATTTAAATTTAAAACCAGATATTTCAAATATAAATCTATAAATTATCATAAAAAGAAAACATAATAAAAATATAGTGTAGCCTTAGATCTAACCAAATTTAGAGTACAAATATTTTTTAATTAATTATTATTTTGAGTGATTGATATTAATATTCATTGATTGGTATATTTATAAACAAAAAATTACAAATTATTCATCATTAAATGATAAACCTAGAAAACCAAATTTAGTACAGTAATAAAATAACGAAGATTTACATTTGATTTAACAATATATGAGAAAACAATAACTAATTAAGTATAATATAACTATAAATCTACCAAAAATTAAAATTAATACATAAAAATCAACAAAAAAGTTAAAATTAAATTCATATACATTGAAGAAGTATATATTTGTGTTAAAGTAAAACTTTAATTAAATTTAAGTGTATTAATATGGAAAATGCCGTAAGAACCAAATATAATGTCACATAAATAAAATAAGAAAATTATAAATATACCATCATTATATTCATGAACTTCTATAAAAATTAAAATGAGTCACATTTAAGACAAATTCTAATATCATATATCAAATGTTCATATAATAAAAATATGATAATAAGATTTGTTATCAAGACAAATCACTTAACTGTGTTCAATACTAAAAGCTATCAAATACTGAAGTAAATTTAAGCAAAGGAGTATAGCATCACTCTAGATATTAACCAACCCTATAATCAACATTCTGACTTAAACATATATTTAAAATTATATTAAATCTTTCACTCGCAAATGTTCATCACTTAATTTAAAATTCTTATATATTTAAATTTAAATGCACTTACCATGTTCAGAATCGCTTGAATCACTAGAAGATGTGGAATAGCTGGAAGAACTTGAATCAGAATCTGAACTACTAGAACTAGATGCAGATAACCGTGATGGACCACTAATTTCTGTAGCTTTAGCATCTGTGAACATAAAATTGTTTCAAAATACTGATCTAATAATATGATAGATAAAACCAATACATAAATAATTAATCTAAATTAACAAAATAGTTTAAATATTTTTATTACCTTTCTTGCCCTTTTTAGTTGATAATTGTCCACCAACATCTAATCGTTTATCTATCTCATGTTTCTTTTCTACAACTTCTTCTTTAGTTTTTCCAGAAACCTTTTTATGTGTAAATTGAAAGTATATATAGCTAATATACTATGTATAATACAATGTTTAGTTAAGACTATATTTATCACCAGAATTATAAATTATAGCATAGAAAATAATTTAATTTATCATAATTTGTACTTTAGTAGCAAATAAATAAAAATAAAAATATTCAGTGAAACAATAATGAAGGAAAATCATTTTAACAAGTAAAGACAAAAAAGAAGAACCAGGCCAAAACCCAAACTTACTGTTAATCTTACGTGGTTTTTTCCTCAAACATGAAGCCACATAAGATTCAAGTTCTCTCAATGTGGATGGTTTAAGGGTTTCAAAATCAATTTCTATTTCATCTGGATTAGAATCCCTAAGTGATGGTTCACGAGACTGGATAATATGTACTACTCGACCAAGTTTATCTCCTAAAAATAGTTATAGTTATAATTATATAAAATTAAAATACAAGAAAAATAAACATAAATACCTGGTAATTTATTTATATCTAAACTCAACTGACGTTTTTCATCATAAGACATTGGTTTTGCATTATCTTCATCTTCAGAATCAAAAGCTGGAGCACTAACTGAATTCTTCTTTTTCGGATTATTTGCTCTAGAATTTACCCTTGGACGCTTAGGTTGTGCTGTAGCTTTAGCTGGACCTCTAGTACCGGCACCTTTGCCTTTAGCTCCTTTGGTAGTTTGACCAGCAGAAACATTTGACATAGGTGGACGCACTTGTTGTGCTGCTGTTTTAACATTCATGGATGGCTCCATTGGTTGCATTTTAATATCATTAGCTATTGTTGAATTAGCCATAATATTCATTGGTGTATTATTAATAGAAACAGCTAATGGAGGTTTAGATGTAGATGTAGTCAATTTGTCATTAGAAGAATGTTTCTTCTTTTTGGAGTTATTCATATTATTTTTCTTTTGTCGTTTCTTTCTAGCACTTTCTTCGATCAACTTTTTCATTTGATCTTGTAAAGCATCCAACTAAAATAATAATGAAAAATTAATATATACTAATATTTTGTTTAACAAATTTAATATGCATATACATATGTTACGGGCAAAGTATACAATTTGAGCATTTTATACAATGCCCAGGCATTTTATACATTGTCCGGACATTATATAAAACGCCCTTCGTATATTTGGCAATATAGATAACGGATGATATGATTTAATGAAATATGATAAATCGTAAAACATAGTTAAAATAAAGTCAAATTATTATCTAAAAATTATTATCTGTAACTAATTTGTTTGTTTTTATCGTATTTTTACAATGGGGATGTCCGCTTGTCCACATATTATACACGTGTACGTGACATAATATATTATTACTATATTTACCGATTTATAAGTTTTATTATATGAAGTTGTAGGGATTATCGTAAAGTCGGCCTTTTACCTATTCTCAAAAATGAACTATTTATTAGTAACCGTGAATCGTTTGTATAGTGCAGGTTAATTCATTCAGTGCGTACCTAACTACTTATTCGAATATGGGAAAGTTTAATGAGATTTAAACAATTTTTTTTTTTTTTTTTAAAAAAGGTTCAAATACTTCATTTTTTACCAAGTTAAAATTTGATCAATTACTTTTACATAAAAATCAATTAAAAAACAATTCAAAGAAAAAGGAACCGAATGATTATAAACTTTTAAAAAAATATGACTTGTTAAAAGCTTCTGATGTTAATAAGTTAATTGTACCAGTATCTGAAAACAACAAAATGAAATATTATGTACATAATAAAGAGTTATTTGATGTTATATATAAAGTTCATTTATCAATTGAACATGGTGGATGAAACAGGATGAAACACGAGGTAAATATAAAATATAAAAATATCACCAGAGATATGATTATGCTATACTTAAATAGTTGCGAATCATGTAAAAGAAAAGGAAGCACAGTCAAGAAAGAATTGATGGTGCAATCAATTATATCTACTCAGATGAATTGATCAATAATATAAATAAATGTCATTATTCATTGATTTATCATATTTCATTAAATCATATCATCTCTTATCTATATTGCCCAATATACGAAGGGCATTTTATATACTGTCCGGACAATGTATAAAATGCCCAAATTGTATACTTTGCCCATAACATATATATTTCTACAAATAACTCAATGGTAAAAAAGTTGTATGAAATTCAGAATCTTTACAATTATCATTTTGAATAACCAAAAATTAGTTTATTATGCACAAAACATGCATAATAAACATAACCATGGAATCAAATGACGCACATGAATTAATGTTTCATCATATTTAAATATACAAACCATGCAAATATTAGAACCAACTACCTAAGACATAAATTAAATAATAACTAATAAATAATGAACCAACAAATTAAGCAAGTAACTCAAACAGCAATATTAAACAAACTTAACTGGGACTAATTATATTATCTAACAAATCATTAACGAGGAAAAAAATTAAATAGAAAATAATAGCTAAAAATAATATAGTAATATATAATAATTACAATTCATTATATTATAAATATAATAAATGATAAATAAAAATATTATTAATTAAATTAATAAATATATTTAATACATAAAAATATATTCCAATTTCACAATTTATTATTCATATAAAAATAAATTACCATGAGTAAGTTTAAAAAACATAGAAGATATATTGTTGAGCCATTCAATAATAAATCAAATGACGCACATAATTATTATCAATTATTTTTAGTTAATAAGAACATATAAAAACAATTCATTTTTAAAATCAGATTTATAATTATATCATTTTGTCAACCAAAAATTTATTCAACTTCCATAAAACATGGTTAGATAGATGAATAAATAAATAGTAAATCAAATGACGCACATGAAAATAATATCATCACTAATGTTAAATAATACATTTTATATAAAAAAAAACTAAAGAATTCAAATTCAATGTTAATATTTTTCATTTCAAAATATTGAGTATTTAATTAAAACTTAATAAGCTTACATAGATTAATATTGAGTTAAAACCTTGATCTCAAAACCAAACTAAAAATAAGTACAGAATAAATGATAAAAAGCACTCAACTTCATAACCGATATGATGTCTTTAAAAAAAGTATTCAATTTAATGTAATCATAACTACAACATAATTTAATGATTTATTTTAAGATTATTTTCTTTAAATTAGAACATACTTAAGAGATTTTCAGGAAACCATTGTTTTTTTTTAACTTCTAATAAAATAAATTATTTACAAGGTTAAACTTAAGGTCACTTAAAAATTTAAAAAATTACCTATTCGTTCAAAGTTCCACTTCAAAAAATTGAAATATTAAAAAAATTAATAATTTAAAAACAAGAAACTCTAAAATACAAAAAAAAACTATTTTTATTATTTTTATTTAAAAAACCTCATAATAATTAACCCTAAGAAACATAATATAAAACCTATAATAGAATGATGGAACTTATCAAATTAATATCATTCATCATCAAAGATGTAATACAATAAACTAACTGTATTAATACTAGGGGATTAATTTAACAATATAAATACTAGGATTAGATCACCTTAAAACAATTTAACCGATTGTACAACATTATATCTTCAAAACTTCATAGGTGGATTTAATACTTAATATATTAATAAATATAATTAAATATATATAAAAAAACCTTACGAAAGTGTTACTTTTGTGGGAACAGTAGAAGTTAAAAATTCTCATTACTCTATACAAAAAGTCTACACATATTATTTTCATGAATAAATCTTTTTTTTCTTTTGTTAAATAAAATACCAAATTGTCTCATATTTAATATATAAAATATAAATAAAAAAAATAAAATTTGTTCTGGCATTATATTAGTAGTATTAACTAAGAAAAATCATTCTGTATTTACAAAATTATAAATTCAAATTCAAACTTAGAAACAAATTCATACTTAAAAGTTATGTAACAAAATTAGATGAACTTAATAGGAAACAACCTTATACCAACTGAAAATTCTATAATTTTGTCTTAATAGTTTTTCAAAAAATATATTCTATGAGACTTCTAAATTACTTGGAATAATAAATACTTATATAGTTGTTAAATCAACTAATTTTCAGAGCCACTTAAAATATTAAACAATTAAGAATATCATGTTCTTGAATATAATATTTATAAAACTAATTCAAGTCAATTTTATGAACTATTTAGAGGTAGTAAAAGAACCTATATATGTATGGTTAATATATTATTACTTACTTTTTCTTGGAATTCTTGAATTTTTCTAGAATTTTCTAGATCTTCAGAATCATCTGAATCACTAAATGAACCAGAACTTCCTTCAGAACTGCTTTCATCTTCAGGTTCCATCTTTAACTCTACTGCAGGTGGGTCTGGTGGTACTTTTGACATTCTTTTAAAATAAATCCAATTTTAATCAAACCATAATATTTTATAATATTAGTATATTAATAAGATATACCTAGCTTCAAATACAGCTTGAAGTTTTTTTGCCATAGCAACTACATCATGATCTTTAGGATTATACTTATAACAGTTGGAAAATATTAAATTGACATCAGCAGCAAATTCTTTAGAGTTTTTATATTCTCTATTGTCTAATTTGGTCTAAAAACATGAAATAAATTAATAATAAAGTAAAATTAATATTTACCTGAATGATTTTAAGTTATTACCTTAACTGTTCCCAAATCCATAGGCTTCTTAATAATATCATGATAATCATGCAAGCCCAACCAAGCAGCATCAACTGGCTTGTAGAACGGCCATGCATAAGCCTAAAACCAGATTAGATATCAATCAGGTATTCTTTAAAATTCCCTTTGTAACAAGCCTTATGGTATTACCGCATGTTTTTTGGTAAACAATTCTTTAAGCACTTCAGTACAACCCTTCAATGCCTCAGTCAATTTTTCTTTGGTTTTTCCGTCCTAAGATAATTAATAATACGATTTTAGTTTAAATTTTCAGAATTTCAAGAATAAAGATATTACTGATATTGAGCCAGATCCAGGTGGTAAAACTGTATTTTGAGAGTAGAGAATTCCTTCATCAGGAACTCTAGGCTTTTTTATTTGTCGACCAGATTCTCTACGAATTGATGTTTGTAAAGGCTGTACAGGGGTAGATGTTGCCATAGGGCCAGGATACACAGTTGAGGAGGCAGTGTCTATAGAATTTATGGGACTAGGATCTGCTTTTCTTTTGACTCCTTTTTTAAGTTTACCACCAGCTAATAGTGAATTAGATGCTCCAATTGGTGTATTCGCTGGTTGTGCTACATAATCACCCGTTGTTGGAGCTAAAATCTTAAAATAAAAGTTTAAAAAAAAATTTACTAACACCATTATAGCTTAATAATTTAGTTTTATTAACTATATCATGTAGTTAAATTTGCTAATTTCATACATATCCGTAGTAAAATTTTATTTCTAACTGTTCTATTATACATAGGATAGCATTATTACTAGTAAAAGTACTTAAATTAATTATATTAGTACTGTACAAATATTTATTATTTAGTATTATATATCAAAGTAAATGATAATAATATAAAAAAATTACTTAATCCATATCAATTCATTTTTTTATTCTAAGTAAATTATTTATTTTAATGGTTAAATTGTTATTAAGTTAACTTACTTGAGGTGGTAGAGAATTATGTTGGGAATGAGGAGTGGTACCCATAGCAGTTGAACCTGGAGCCACAGCTATTGGCTGGTTTTGACTGGGAGGAGGCTTCTGAATGATTGAATGGTTTTTCACAGCCGGTTTATGTTGGGGTAATACAGTTTCTTCTTTTACCATTTGACCCATCTATAAAAAATTTATTTTCATTTATATACGATTTTTTGAACTTATTAAATAAATAGGCTAAACAAATCTTTACCTTAGCAAGAAACAATTTTTCTAATGTTTGGGCCATGACTACTACATCTTCACCAGGTTTATTGTAAGCGTAACAATTGGAAAACATTGCACTAAAATCTTGTATACATTCATCAGCACACCAATAGTAATTATTTTCTAAACGCTTTTTTATAGTACCCAAGTCCATGGGCGTTTTGATTACTTTATGGTAGTCCTAAAATAATAAATATTAAAATTATAGATATTTAACCAAAATATACATTGTGTTGATATCTAATAAATAGTTCATATATAAATAAATAAATAAATAGCTAGGATTATTATTATATTTGTCAAATCTAATAATGAATTTTTGGCAATGGCCCGTAAAAGTAAAAAAAAAATAAAAAATGATTAAGCTAAAATCGGCCATACATTAAAAATATAATACTCCAAAGCTAAGCATTTAATTTAATTCTGCATATAAACTATTTATTTCAAAATTATTTTACTAATTTTTATTTTATATTTTATTATTATTTTTTTTTATTTTATTAAAAATAAATAAGTTTTTTTTGTATATCAAACATATTTTTGATACAATAAAAAATTTAAATGCAGACACCACAATCCTAATACTCAAACTATGAATGTACGAGTTTAGATAGAGCTAGTCACATAGAAAAAAGAAACTGTATAACTAAAATAATTCTAATTATTTGTTGTATTACAATATTTATATAATTTTTTTAAATTTATACCTGATGATTAAATTGTTAAGTAATAAATAAAATAAATCAATATTGAAATTTTTAAAAAATAAGAGGTAGAGAAACTTTAATTTTCTAATTATATACTTAGAACAATGGAAATCCATCTATTCAATTTTTCTCATTGTAAACTGAAATTTAATATAATTTCAAACAGTACTAATAATAATTAACTTTTGATTAATGTAATTTTAATTAAATGTTACAATACAAGTTGTTAATAGTAACATTTATAAGTAACAAATAAATTATTAAAATCTTATTAAACTGATCAATACAATCAAAAAATGTCACTAAATTACATAACTTTGATACATAAAAATAATCACTGTTTTATTTATAATAACTTCAATTTTAATCTTTTAACATCATGGAAGTTAAAATGTACACATAAGTTCAGGAGGATATCAACAATTTCTATAAATCTATAATATAGTTTACGTATTGTTTAATAAATTAATATAATTTATCATTTTTAACCTATGTACAATTTACTACTTACATGTCTATTTTTTTACTTTGGATATATAACAAATTTGAAATAATGAGCATGGTAAATCATCAACACACATAATCAAGATTCTAGTATACTAAAAATAACTTCTATTTAATAATGTCTATTGGTTTTACTATATTAAAATGTAATACATTTAAATAAGTAAATCATTCTCCTAATAAAGTAACTACAAAAAAAATCTAATATTTTTATTTTTATAGTTATTTGTTAACATTAGATGATTAGAGTAATGGCAAAGTATACCCTAAACAATTTAGTTATATTACCCAACTTACCTTATCTCTATAAACTACTAGTTCAAATTTTAATGATATGTATTAAAAATGTATACTAATGATAAAATGCTGTGTTTACTTTTAACAACTTAATAAATATTTTTTCAAACCTAATGAATCACCAATGAACAAAAAATTATCCTATATATTAATAATATAACTAATAATAATTACAGGTAAATTGAGGTTGATGGCATCGACTGGCTGATGAAATGGCCATGCATGATGATGTTTCCAAATAGCCTTCATGACTGTTTTTTGAAGAAAATGAAGTTTGTTTGTGAGTCGACCTGGTCGATTTGGAGGAGGTACAACTGGTGGTTGAACAATTCCATTCACCGGCTCAATATATGGCTCAATTCGTGGTGGCGGAATATCTCCACCATCAGGCTTGGAATTTGCAGAATCCTATTATTCAAAAAAAATGTAGATTAAAATAAATAATACTCTTCCAAATACAATATACATGTTTCATGTAACATAAATTATATTCGTTAAATAAATTATTATGAATTATATTTAAATATAGAAACCTTACAGTGACAAGTAGACATTGGCAACGAAGGCAGAATTTTAAGAGAATATCCAATATCAAAAGATACAATGAAAATTATTAAGCAATGTAATAAGAATATATTTTAATAATTCAAAGAAATTAATAAATTTAAAAAACGAATAAAAATAAAAAAAAATAAGACAAAGTTTTTAAAAATGTATATACTTAACATTTAACTATAATGCATTACTAACAAGTAACTTTTATATATTAAAATGTATGCTCAAATTAATATTAAATAAGGTCTAAACATTTATTATACAATATTTACCATTATATTGTGTTATTTTTTCATTCATGAATCAGTAATAAAATAAAATAAATATACTCACTGGCGGCACACCACTATTTTGAGTTGAAACTGGCACCTGCTGCATATTGAACCCACTAAAATAAAAAATGATCAATTTAATTAATAGTTCGTAGAAATTATAACTAGTGTAATAAAATATAACATAAATTCAAAATAATATAACAGTTAGATTAAAATAATATACATATTTAATTTATCCGTACTTTTGAATAGTACCAAATAATTTATATCCAACAAAAAAATACATATAAACTATAAATTATTTAGTGTAAGAAACCAAGATAAATACATTTAATTTTGAGTTTCTTAATATAAGTTGTTATATATATACAATATGAAAGAAGTATTTAATGCATTTTCAAATCATGTTAATATATATTATACCAATATAATTATACACATATAAACATTTTAATTACTATAATTTTAAGTATAAAATTTATTTTGCAAAGGTCATTAGAATATTAATGTGACAAACTCTATTCAATAAAAGTATTTGTATAAGATTCAATTAATTGTTTTTTTAATAGGTATATTAGTTGGCTACATTGTAACAATCAAGTCACCTAAGATCCAACTCTGAACTGTTATCAAAATTTTATATTATAATTTATAAATGTATAGAATATTTAATATTCATTCAAATGTTTATTATATCTACAACTTTTACGAAGATATTTATTACAATATAAATCAGTATTTCCCAACTCTTTAACCCACAGAATCTTTGCACAAACCTAGACATTTTTGCAGAAACCCTTTTTAATAAATAAGATTAATAAATGCTAGATATTGAATATCTAGGGTGACAACCATAACAATTATTATACAACAAATATTTTATAAGATACAGTGACATCCCAAAGAGAAAAAGAGTATCTAACATTCATAATTCAAATCTCTGATCAAATCGAAAATGTTATTCATTCCCAAATTTCTAATGGAACCTTAGGGTTAAGCAAAACACTAATATAAATAATTGTAAATAATAATGCTAATAAAACATTATAATTTCTACTGAATATTTAAGGTAATTCATTGAGGGTAATAAAAACTAATAAAAAAATTCAGGAAAACAAGTACTAATTAACATCAACTATATAAAGAAAAAACAATAACATAAAACATGTATCTTCTTATTCATAAGTTGAGTTACCACCATTATTGCGAACACCTATTACATTATTCTTTTGGTCAATTAAAAATAATACTGAAGCAATTATTTTATTATTAAAACTATCAACCTACCAAGTGTTTAAGAATATAATTAATTCTTATTTTTGATAATAGTATTTTTGTAAAATTAAAATCCAAAAGTAAGAGATTATTTTTATCATTGTATATTACATGTTTAAAATTCAAAAGTATTATAACTGGAAATTATATGTAAGTGTTATATTACCTAGAACTTATAAATACTATAGAATAATGCAGAAATTGTTTAAATACTACATCATACGGAACTCTTAAAATAGTTAAAACTTTTATAGCATCTAAATTTAATTTTAATTTAAACCCAATATCAAATTTTAATTAAAAATATTCAATTGGATAATGCAAGAAAAAAAGATTTATACATATTTTAATATGTATTATCTCTAGTATTAAATTAAATCAGAGATAACTTGAATAAAATTAACTATATCAACTTAACTATTAAACAATTTATATTAATGCAAAAAGCTAATTATTTTATGTCTAATAAGCAAATAGAAAATGTCTGTATGCAGGCCACACTAATATAAGAATATCATAAATGGTAAATATATGTGTCAAAAACTACCTATGGTACCTAACAAATAAAAAAAATAAATATTTTACTTAACAACACCAAGTGGTGGACAGGTATTATAAAATAAGCACATTATGAAATCAATGAATATATTTTACATATATTTTGATAAAAAAATACCTAAATAAACCCAAAATATTTCAAGAACTATAGCAAAGAAAATATCAGATACTAGATAGGTTATAACGTACAATGCACTGATGATGAGATATATATTACCATTATATACAATGTACAATGTATTGTACCATGTACAATGAAACCTTATGGATTAGGTAGCATCAAAGGTATGCGAACACAGCCCACGAGGGTATAATAGAGGTAATTGGCTAACAACCTGCCTAAGTTCACATTGTAGTGCTATATCAATTACAAGACAACGGTTTTTAGTGTGTTTAGATTTATACAAAACCAAAAACCAAAATAACGGGCAAATGGAAAAGACGGACATAAGCCAGCATACATGGGCGGACAAGAATTTCGAGAGGGCTGCTACCTGTTTGATGTAGCAAACACAGAAGCGACGACAACGTTGATGATTCTACGGCTGCTCGATGGTGACGCTGATGCTGCTTCTACTACGGCTAGAACCGCGGTGGCGGCGATTCAAAGCCGTCCACTGATGCGGCTAGGCGCGGGCATTGGCACGCGCGCCAAACTTGGACGGAAACAACGGGACGCAGAGGAAGAAGTCGTTCCTCTGTGCGCAATGAACACAGTTTTAACCGTTGAGACATGAACACAAGACGTTTGAATCAATATACGCGAACGCGTGTGTATGCGTATGTTTAAGTGCACGCGCGTGTTTGCTGTAGGTACGCCGCCAATACCGTTAGCGTTTTTGGCGCTCAATGATCAACATGGCGCGAGTCGTCCCCGAACGGGGGGAACCCGGGGACATTTGTAAATAAAAACACACATTGCCGAACGATGCTGTGCACAAAGCGCGCGACGGCAATCAAGAGTCAAGATATCACGACGGTCATAACCGTACTCATGTCGCCTGGACGCCCGTGCGCGCGCGCGCGCGCGCGTATATAGCAGCTAACGGAAAACACGTACCTGTCGACTGTGGTTGAAACATACATAAACGGTACGCTTGGCTCTAATAACGTGAACAGCAACTGTGACTACGAGACGTAGTAGCGTTGCGCGCTGCGACCAACGTATTCCCAAAGTCCAGGGAACCCGACGGCGCATCCATTATTATTATTATTATTATGACTACTAAACAACCGCGACAACTACTACGGCGGCGGCGGCGGCTGCAGTGGCGGTAACGCGCCGCGTACTTATAGGTCGCACGACGACGGCGGCAGCGTATGTGCCGCGATTTCGGTAGCACACGCGCGCACGGCGAAAACACCTATTCCCACGAACTCGGCACTACGCGGTCATTTTTCGAGTGCCCACAGCGATTCCGGCGCATCGGCGATGAATTAGTTTCCGTACCAAAAACAGAGAAACTCGCATAAACGTCCATTAATGCCCGAAAACTATCGACTGGCGGACGGGACGGGGTGGTGTATTAGGATGCAACGTCCCCATTGGCCGAGCCGGGTCACGTGATGCACATCATTACGATTCCCATCGATTTTCCGAGCTAAATCTCTTCGATTCAACCGATCTTGATTGCGTCAGGACGCGCGCGACGTCTCTTAGACCGGACCCGACGCGATTTCCTGTGGCCAAATTGTGTCCATGTTTTTTGATGGCAACCGTTCGGCTGCGATGGGAACACGAAGACCGAAAAAATTATGGGGAGAAAGGGCACACCGACGCTGTTATTGGAACGCGCGTGCCCGTGCGTGCGAGGCAACGGACCGTAATTCATGGAGGAAATGTTCCGCGTATACAGTGTCTCCTTGTTTTGACGCGTCCAGTGCCGACAACGGCGCGGCACCGGAATTTAACGTATTTCTCCTATCATCATCGTCACCGTCACCGCCGTCATCAATGCTAATTGTCAGCACGCCGGTCTTACAACACATTAATACTTTATACCACCAGGCTATTGCTATTAGATGCTAACGAAATCCAGTTTTGCTTGTCGTTACCTGTTTACGCGCGAAATCCAAGTTTGGTTGTTTCATATCTACAGACATTATAACCTCATTTTTTCTCATTGAATATCAATAAATTATTATTATTATTATTGTTATTATATAACCTCACGAGCACGATTTAAGATATACATAGGTATATCTTTAATCGTGCTCACGAATGACGCAGGTTATCTTTCTAACGCTACATAGAACACAATGACGTTTTGAAATCACTTACTTTTGGTCAATTTCACTTATATAAGTTATTTCTAGATTATATTAGGGTTACATATCGTACCATACGTTTTGTATTACTACATCATATCCCGTTTTCCCATTATTTCCTTTACTGTTAACGAATTACTACTCAATAATATCTCTACATTGGTATTTTTATTGTTTTAGTCATTTTATTGGGTACATTAATTCATTATAAAATTATTGTTGTATATAAGTATTTCATTAGGACTTAAAAACTAAATATTTCTCTTATTTTATTATATTTGATGAAAAAAAAAAATTTAGAAAGGTGCGTTTTGTATTTTTTTTTTTTTTTTAATGGTTACCCTAGAATCTAGGATCAAGATTATGTATTATATTATTCGATAAAATGTATAATGATAATCTGTCAAAATATACATTTATATTTTTCATTAAGATATAAAATTCCTTATTCAGAAATGTATATACCGAATGGTAAACATGAAAAAGAAGAGATAGTGGTTGCATAATTCAATTAACTTTTGAAGTTAAATAAATACTTTACCATAAGGTCTAAATCTGTTATATCCTAGCCTTCTTAGATTCACATGTTGATGTTTAAAAAAAAAAAACTACACTGAATCCATCAATGTCGTAGTCACTAAAGTTTTAATCTTAAACCTTAGAATAATTTTTGTCAGAGGAAAAATGTTGACACACGGTAATTTTTTTTTAACTCCATACTACAAATTTTTACTACATAAAAAAAGATATTAAGATACCTGATACTTCAGTTTTAAATTGTTCGAAAATTTTTTATTTTAATTTATTAATTAATAAAATTATTGATCTCAACAATTTTCTCAAATAAAACCTCGAGTAACAAACAAAATATTTTAGTAGTTCATAGGTAGCTAAGACTAAAAATAATATTATATGTATAGCATCGCTATTATAGAAAAGCGTCATTCTAAACAACACTATTCATTTCCAACACCAGTTGAATATAGTTCAAGAATTGTCGAATAGAATAATTCACCTACAATTTGTGGGTACCTACTTATATAAAAACGAACAATGTTATAGTTTGTGAAATTGTGTTGTAGTGTTTTTTAATCAGGTTAGATATTCTTCTAATTTCTAATTAAAATAACTATCCATACTAAGATTTTTTTCTAGATTTTACTAACATAATTTGTACATAGGATGTACACAATGTTTTTAGTAAAACAATTAAAAACCCGAATAAAATTATATTTAGTTTTTACTGAATACAAGTAGTAAAAGCTAACTTTACTTATTTAGTGATAGGATTTTTACGGTAACATAAATATAGTGGCGGAACTAGGGTGAAAAATTCCACTAATACCCTTAAGATGGAGATTCATCCTTGGGCGTAACATTTTAATGGGTGTAATTTTTGTAGTATATAGGGAATATATTATTAGCTACTAATTTGTACCTATTTTCGCCTCTGATGATAGCATACTTATGATAGTATCTTATAATAGAATTTAGGTGCCTAAACGTTTTAAATAGTAATTATTAATTGGGCAGTATTTTAATTTTTAGTTAGTTGGATTAATTCACTTATTACTTGAATACTAAATCCCCACGTTATTACCCACCACCTTTAAAAATATGGTCTAGTCATGACCATATTTGAATCTTGAGTTCTGCGTCGCTGCCTTACAATTTTTATTCATACAGGGAATTTTTGAAATGATTAAGGAAACTACTTTCAACGTACTGTTTAGAACGGTCAGATGAAGATTCTTTTAACAATTTTTTTCAACTTCAACAATTGGGTTTTATCTAATTATATTTAGAACATTATCTTAAATCAAAAAATTAATACTTGTAAGAGATTTCTAGCAAATTTTTCATGTGAATCGATATGTGTCATCGATTATGGGTTTGTCACACGTTTTTAATGCCTGAGTTATCAGAATAAAATAATGTAGTGTGCCAATCGGTTTGTACGAAAATTCTGCAAGATAAACGATGGTGACGTTTATTTGTTGCTAATTAAAATTAATCCAATTAACTATAAATTGTAATACTGCTCATTTAATAATTACTACCTAAAACGTTTAAGCGCCTAAATGCTATCATAAATGCTAAAATATGTTAAACATTTTTGAGAGAGGGTGAACTCTTAACCTCTTAAATTATGTCTTTCGGCGGGGTAGGTTGTAAATTATGAATTGGATGGCTATCGACCAAACAATTCAAAATTTTGTTTGACGCTATTGTTGTAAGGTGCATTTCTTCTTTGCTCGGGTTGTATGCAATATAATATAGAATTAGATTTATATTAATAAGCGTTCTATGACTAGGTACGTCTGTTGTCATAAACATTTTTCAAATTAAAAATGTATTATAATAATGAGACATTTACATTAAAAAACAAGCAGTTTAAAGGTTTGGCCTATTATTGAATATAAAACATTGATTATTGGAAGAATGACTGAAGATCAGTGGCATATCCAAATTGCATGTTAAAAACCAATATATTAAAAATTAAAAAATTGATTTACATTTAATGACCATTTACTACTATGGGTAACCAAAAGAAATATGAACATACTATAAGATATATATAACATGCATATTATGTGAAATTAAAATGGCGGCGCTACACCTATGAATCAACTATTCAACTACAATCTATTTTAATTTCTTACTGCGATATTCGATGATTTTACTATACCTTTGTTTTAAATTTACAAAATGAGAAAAACCACATGTAAATCGAGCCAATAGTTCATTGATGTAACTTGGGAGGGACTAAGTCTCCCAACTTTAATTTTAGCTCCTCTGTCATAAATCTTAGTCCCACCAATAGTGCCTACATTTTTAAGTTAAAATTATACCTTTATTTTTTATTAACAACATATTGAACATTTTTTTTTTTTTTTTTAATTATCATGCCGTAATGTATTTATAAAGTAAAAATAAATATAAAAATATTCGTGAATCAGAAAAATTAATGTATAGATTTGATTTTTGTAACAGTTATGTATTAAATAATGTTAATGACTAACAAATATTAAGTGTAGTGATCGTTGTGCAGGACACTATGATCGGTACCACATTAATTATTTAACCACGTAGTATGTTTGATATTATCTTGAGACGTAATGGTGAGAGAGATAGGTAATTTGAATAATTAAACACTTGTATGTTAACACTTATAAAACTTACTTTTTTCATTAATTTACCACAGTAAAAATAACAAACAGTTTAAACAAAAAAAATAAAAAACCGTTTATTCTGAATCAAGAATTATGTCCTCGCGGCGATGTAGCTGTAACAATATCCACGACGAGTAATAATTTATTAAAAAGGGAAAATGACCAGTCTAACACTGTCTATCAGAACTACCTATCTACTTCTAATTAATGTCAAATGCTCAACCCGTATCTATGCAAGCTCCAATAACGTAAAAGTGGCGTAGTTCCAATATTATTCCCCTCCTATGTCGACTTAGCACCATTATGCTAAGAGGTGAAAACCACTTGTTGTTTTCTCCATTGCTCCGGATTTCTTGCACGTAGGCATATTTATTAATATTATTACTAAATTATATTGATTATTAAATTATGCTTGGCCTTGGGCTTACTACATCCCTCCCCTCTAAGCTGAAAGTCTCTGACTTTCCCCAAAACAAAAAACAACAAAAAAATAAAATAAAATAAATGATAAAATAAGATAACTAATTAAAATAATGCCTAGCTAACCCCTTATGGTTAAGTAAAAAGTTTTAATTTGGGATACATAAATGAGGTTTCCTCACTCTCTTCCTTTGGAGTTAATGCTAGATCTTCCAAATTTGGTACTGTGGCTTCCATGGACTATTCTTTTATGTTGACTTGAGTCCATTTATCTTCCATGTGAACTGAATATGTTGGAGGTTTTGTATTGGCATCTTTGGTTGTTTTCTGTTTGGTATACCAAATAATACAAATAATATTTATTATGATAACCAATAATAACGCTATTCTTCCACTTACGAAATATATATATATATATATTTTCATTTCAATTTTCGCATATTGATCCTTTTGTTGTATTTGTTCCGTGATTTGATCTTGTGTGTACGTTATGTCATTGAAATCGTACATTTGGCTGATTCTTATATGATGTGACTATATTGTTTTAACATAACGACTTCGTGTGGTATCTTCTGGTAAATTCTTGATTATCGAAGTAGGGATGAAATCGGAATATTGCGTTTTGTCTGCTAGTCGCCCTGGAATCAAGACGTCTTGGTTTGAATATCCACGATATGTTTCGTTTAATGCAATGACTCCTGCTCCTTCGAGAATATATGTTTTTGACTGTTTTTTCTTCATCACATGTGACAAATAGTGAATCGTTATTTGTTACATATAACCATTCATTGTTGTACTTCAACTTATGGAAAACTGTTGTAACTATCTCAATATGTCGTATGTCGCAACTATTTGGCACTTCCCTCGGCTCTTGCATCAGGAGTATCTCGCACATAGGTCTCATATTTCTAGAATGTAATGGG